TGCTACAGCAAATAAGCTCTCCCTGCACTCTTCCTCACCGTGTGCTTGGTCGCTGAGCCTCAGACCTTTATAAATACAAGCACGTGGTCATTTGATCCTTGGCATGTAGCTTCCCTGCTTGCACTGAAGACTGAAGAAAAAGGGAGCATCTGAGGCTCCTGCTCTGTGGACTCACTGGGTTCCTTGCTGCAGGGTAGGTAGGGTGCGAGGACAGGGATACAGTATTTTTCAAAGGTGTAATTATACTTTGCCTTTTCCTTAAGGAACACCATGTATTTTGCAGATAGTGGTGATGCCTCACAAGCCTGTATGAAGTAAGGTAGGATCACTCTGGTTTTATGGCTGGACAGGTGAGATATGGAGAGGTTGAGTAGCTCATGTTAGACTACACAGCGAGATTCAGGAAGACAATGCTGTGCTGCCAGTGACTGCTGCACAATCCTCTAACTTACGCCTTTTGAGTAGCTGATTATTACTGGGTAGCTGGGTTACTTTGTAGCTGAGTTACTTAAACTTTTCTTCTCCCTCCTTTAGGGTTTCCTAAAATGATCAGGACACGAGAGAAGCTAGCAGAATATCTCACAGTGATAATATTCACCACATCGGCCCAGCATGCAGCTGTGAATTTTGGCCAGGTAGGAATTTCTGTGAAGCCTGTTCTTTCTGGGCTGGGAGATCCATCTCTGAGGACAGGGTCCAAGAAACTTTTTTTGGTAGATGTAGACATTACATTACTCTGTCTGGTCAAAATAGCTGCAGAGTGTCCTGGGAGTCATTTTCCTCTTCTTAGTAGCTGGTGCTGTGTTTTTGACTTTAGTCTGGGAACAACGCTGATAACACCGATGTTTTTGGTTGTTGCTCAGTAATGTTTACTCCAACCAAGGACTTTCTCAGTCTCATGCTCTGCCAGGGAGGAGGGGAAGCCCGGAGGAAGCAGAGACAGGACACCTGACCCAAACTGGCCAAAGGGGTATTTCATACCACAGCATGTCATGCCCAGTATAGAAACTGGGGGGAGTTATCCAGAAGGCCTAGATCGCTGCTCGGGTCGGGCTGGGTATTGGTCGGTGGGTGTTGAGCAATTGTATCCTCTCCCCTTGTTATTCCCCTTATCATTATTATTATTGGTGGTGGCAGTAATGGTTTGTATTATACCTTAGTTACTAGATTGTTCTTATCTCAACCCGTGGGAGTTACATTCCTCTGATTCTCCTACCCATCTCTCCGGGAACGGGGGGAGGAAGAAGCGGGGGAGTGAGTGAGTGGCTGCGTGGTTCTGAGTTACCAGCTGGGCTTAAACCATGACAGTTCTTTGCAGAGCCATCTGCAAATCCCCATGAAGCCTGTGGAAATGGAAGCTGAGAATGGCATTTTGAGTCCTAAATATGCATCAAAGTTCAAATTTAGGAGTTTTAACTTGTATGGTTTAGTTTTAACGATTTTAGTATGGGGAATAATTTTTTTAAGCATTTAAATGGGTTGCTAAGATGCCTTTCAGAAATGCTGAAGGGTTCAGGTGAGAATAGGCTGATGGTAGGAGGAGATGGTTGTGCATTGGAGAGAACAGATTGAGCACCATGTAGGCATGGCACACAGCTGAAATGGGACTTTCTCTCAGGCAGGACAGGGAATATGTATTAAGGTAATTAAAAAGTGCTTGGAAAAGAAAACGTTATGCTAAGTGCACCAACTCAGATGGCAGCAAAACTCAGGGTCATATCTGAGGCAAAAGGAAACATCACCATCTCACAACACTAAAGCAGGCCAGAAGTGATTCTGTGTTCCCAGTCTGGTGCTCACTATGGCCACATCCACATGCCATATTTCATGATGCACCAGTATCTTTTGCCTTTCCTACTGCCTGACCACAGTACTGTGGGCATGTTCTCAGAGCAAATTTTGCAGGAAAAAGCAACTGGAGAAAAGGATGTTTTATTGATTACAGGGTTTTGTTAGAAGTCGCCTCTCTTTTATTAACAAAAGAGACCTTTGTTTAACAAAATAGCTAAGTCCTTAGCCTGGCTGGTGAATCTAGTCCTTAGCCGTGCTGTGTAGCACATGCTTGTGGTTAGCAGAATAACTACTCCCATTTAGACAACCCAACTCTGTCCTTTGTGAGATCCTGAGCAAGGCAGTAGACTTCCTTGTCTCCTTCAGTCTTTCTCTAGACCATCTCTCTGTCCTTTAGTGAATACCTTCTCTTTCTGAGAAGCTCATATTACCGAAGCAAATTCCCTGGTGCCAAGACTCCTGATTTTCTTTGCAGTGATCCTAAATACTGACCACTGTATCTTCTCGATGTGCTCTCTTGCAGTATGACTGGTGTTCCTGGATTCCCAATGCCCCACCAACAATGCGCTGCCCTCCTCCAACAGAAAAGGGAACAGTCACCATTGAGCAAATTGTGGAGAGTCTGCCAGACAGGGGACGTTCTTGTTGGCATCTTGGAGCTGTCTGGGCCTTGAGCCAATTCCAGGACAGCGAAGTAAGTCAACCTGCCTGCTCTAGGTTGTGGAGATGTAGGTGAGATCATGGCAAGACCACATGGACTCATGAGATTGTAGTGCTGCTCTCTGCTTGACCATATGCCTTTCTGTGGAGATGTGTCAGTGGTCTGGGTTTGCCCTTGTTCTGCCAGATACAAACCGGCTCTGAGTGAAAAGCTGTATTTTTACTCTGAGGCTGTGTTTCAGCCAAAATGAACGTTTCTAAACTCAAGCACAGGATTGCTGAGTAAGGATGCTGGTGTGGGAGGAAGAGGGCTGCAGAGGCACAAGGGTTTTCTTCACTCCTTGCCCCAGCTGTGCTGCTGCAGAAGGTACAGCACCACTGTGTCCCCTTGTCCTGTCCCTTTAGAAAACCTGCCCTAGTACCACATGCGCTACAGCTATGACTTGTGGCTGGCTGGTGTGGAATGCAAACAAAACAAGCCTACTGGAGGCTTTGCAAGCATGGTAAAATGAGGTTGTAGGTCCTTGGTTGTCTTACCCAAGGGCTTTGTCTGAAGGATGTGTTTTCATCCTTAAATGGAAGATGATGGACAGAAGGTACTCCAAATAAAGTCTCCCTATAAGAAGAAAGCAGATTTCAGCTAAGCATCTAGTAGAATAGGTAGTATCATGGAAAATAGTTACCTAAAGCAGGTAATATACCAGTATGCATATTGGCTATGTGGTATGCATAGAGTCTAAGAGTCTTAGAGTCTAAGCTGACTAAAGCAACTGTCAGGTTGAACTCCAAAGGACAGTTTTAAGTCAACAGAAACTTCCACTGTCACTAAAAGAAGCAGTCATCTTCCTTTTTCATCCCTGGCTCTTCATTCCCCTCCCATGCTGTCCTTTTCTGTAGCACCACAATTGTTTGAGTGGCTACACAGAGATCTGGCTTAGGAAGCTGATCTGGCTGACCACTAGCCTGAATAAAAGTGCCTATTTTTCAGTGGATGAGCTCCCTACAGGTGGAGGAGGTGCCACATATACACCTAAACCAGCACTACAGAAAGATGCAGGGATGGAAAGAAGCATCCAGAGGTGGAGGGAGGATGGCACAGCATCTTTCTTTGTCAGTGCCAGTGTAGGCTAGCTTAAATATTGATAGGACTATTTTAATAGTAGCATGTGTAAGGCTCTGGGTGTTGTTCTGCTGGATGGTATAATGTTGAAACAGACCAGCCTTTGCTTTCTCAAAGCATGATTTGTTGGTTGTTTTTCAATTAGCTGTTTCTAGGCATGTACCCAGATGAACACTTTGTGGAGAAGCCAGTGAAAGAGGCTATGGTAAAATTCCGCAAGAATCTGGATGAGATTGTCAACACCATCGCCGAGCGCAACAAGAGAAAAAAGCTTCCTTATTACTACCTTTCCCCCGATCGCATTCCCAACAGTGTTGCTGTTTGAGCAGATACCCAGGAGAGTTTGGAGGCATGTAAAGCTAATGATATTTTTCTGTTACATATGCTTCTTTTCAATGAACTCTCAGAAATGGTTAAAATAAGAAACCCAACCCCTCCATTAGAGCTGACCCATCGTCTGTTTGGACTTTCAAAACAAATTTGATTATGACTGATCTTGCAAACAAAGTCTAGTTGACAACCTTCTAGGTCAAATTTGTTAAAACTTTATTTTTCCAGGATTTTTTAATTAATCTTAGAATTAATATCCATGTTTCTGTTAGCTTTCCCTCTCCTGGACAAAACAATCTAATCACAGATTCACTTATTCAGCGAAAATAATATCATGAGCAATAAGCAAGTTGCATCTTTAAAATCCCTCCCATTTTTAATAGATGACACTGGTAATAGATAAAAATATAATCCTTAAAGTTTATGCATTGTTTTTAATCTGATTAAAAGTAATGTTAAATATTTTCACTACCACTGTGAGTTTCCTAATCAGGATGAAGATAGAAGCAGGACGTTTTCTTAACATAACTGGTGGGGTTTTGTCACTTTCTTGTGGAGTTCATGTGAACTGGGACAGCCTAATTCATATGAGATGAAAAATTTGTACCTATATAAACCTATGTATTTTCTACATAAATCTAGGAAGGTTTATTTTAGCCTCTGCCAGCAGAGTTTGATGCCCTTCATGTATACAGACAAATGTTTTGCTTAGCACAGTGGCAACAAGACCTAGCAGTGCTTATGCTCGATTTCTGTCTCGTTGTGGAGGCTGCTGGGTTTTGTGGATAGCTTCTTCAGGTTTGTGGTGGATAAAGAGGCTACTTTGTATAATGATAAAAGTTGTGGGGAAGGATTAATTTGCAGCCTCTAAAAGGAATCTTTATATTTGGCCAGTTAAGTATAATTGGCATGTTCCAGGGGAGAAAAAAAAAATCTGTTTTGTCTGTTTTGTTTAGAAGTGATTAGGTTCAACCACTTGGGCTCTGGTTAAAGTTCAGAGAATCACAGATATAATGAAAGTAAAAATGAGGTTTGGAAAATGTGAATCTTATAGTTTTGTTAATAACAATTTTAGTTTATTTTTCCCCAGTATTTTTTCCTTGAACTAGCTTTGCCATCCTGCACAGTGTATTTTCTCGGTAGGTAAGAAAGCTTTTTGTGCTAATAAACCAAAACTGAGCAAGAACATTTCTTTAAAAAATAAGCTTTTATTTCTTAACTCAATATATAATGCTGTGTGTCTTGAAAACCTTGTAGGAATAAGCACAATATGCTGTGTAGAGAAATGAAACTCCTATACTTTGAGAAATATAGTTACTTCTATTGTTCATATGTGATTTGGAAAAGGATACTAATAAAATATATGTCCTTTCTGTTTCATATGAAACACAGATGTGGAAATAGATCCTTTGCAGCAGACTAATCCCCTTTTTCTCCCCCCAGCTAAAGAATTTCAACAAAAATGTGGAAGGTAAATGTACTTCCTCAATAACAGGAAGTGGTCTTAAGATTTGTGCATCTTCCTTTACTGCAGCCCATGAGAAGCAATGACTGTAGGAGCTGAGGCAGCAAGTGTGTGAACCGCCAAAAAAGCTAAAAAGATGAAATGTGCAACTTAAAGTCAAAAAAATGCAACAAGCTGATGCAATATAGCCAACATGGCAACTCCTGTCCTTCCCCCGTGTACAATGAATGTCCTCTTGCCTCAGCTTCTGTATGATAATGATCTGTATAATCAAGTATCCGTCTAGAAAACAAAACATGGGAAGAGAGGTTGATGGCTGTTCTCTTGCATCTGTTTCTTCTGCTCTAGCCTGTGGACCTGTGATACAAGGAGGGTTGATGGGAAGCTTAGGGAATTGCACAATTGAAAGCTGATATTAACAGTCTGATTCAACTGCAGGATAAGCTGTGGTTAAAAGTAAGAAGGTTAAAAGTAACACTGGCACCAGAAAGGAAGCAAATATATGCAAATAGTAAAGCACTTAGTCTTCTGGGAGTCTGGGTACACATGTTGCTGTCCCACTCCCTCTCCCTTGTCAACCAGTTACCATCCACCAGAAAGTTATATTACGTGCTTAAGCCGTGTGTTGCTCCCCTACATCTTTAACCATGACTTGCACAGAGGTATCTCCCATGTCATAGTACTATGGTATACTGTCCTCTTGCAGGATCACTCTTAAACGGAAATGAAATGATCATCCCAAAGAAGTGGTAAATCATAGAATCATAGAATGGTTGGGGTTGGAAAGGACCTTAAGATCATCTAGTTCCAACCCCCCTGCCATAGGCATGGACACTACACACTAAACCATGTCACTCCAGACTCTGTCCAACCTGGCCTTGAACACTGCCAGAGATGGAGCATTCAAAACTTCCTGGAGCAACCCATTCCAGTGCCTCACCACCCTCACACTAAAGAACTTCTTCCTTATATCTAACCTAAACTTCCCCTGTTTAAGTTTGAAGGCATTACGCTTTGTCCTATCACTACAGCCCCTAACGAAGAGTCCCTCTCCAGCATCCTCGTAGGCCCCCTTCAGATACTGGAAGGCTGCTATGAGGTCTCCACGCAGCCTTCTCTTCTCCAGGCTGAACAGCCCCAACTTTCTCAGCCTGTCTTCATAAGGGAGGTGCTCCAGCCCTCTTATCATCCTCGTGGCCCTCCTCTGGACTTGCTCCAACAGCTCCATGTCCTTTTTATGTTGAGGACACCAGAACTGGACACAATACTCCAAGTGAGGTCTCACAAGAGCAGAGTAGAGGGGCAGGATCACCTCCTTCGACCTGCTGGTCATGCTTCTTTTGATGCAGCCCAGGATATGGTTGGTTTCTGGGCTGCAAGTGCACACTGAAGCTGGCTCATGTCGAGTTTCTCATCAGCCAATCCCCCCAAGTCCATCTCCACAGGGCTGCTCTGAATCTCTTCTCTGCGCAAACTGTAGCTGTGCCTGGGATTGCCCCAACCCAGGTGTAGGACCTTGTACTTGGCTTGGTTGAACTTCATAAGGCTGGTATTGGCCCATCCCTCATGCATGTCCAGGACCCTCTGGATGGCATCCCT